AAAGTGTACACTCAAAAGATCTAACAAATTTTCTGTACTCTAAAACACTGGAGGTGAGGGGTTTTTTTTTAAAGAAATCCACATGCTTTTGTGTGTAACACCTGCACAAAGTTTTCATTTATAATTTAGATAGAAAAGCAGTTCACAAATCATAATGAACAAAGTCTGAATAAACACAGCAGAGCATAAAACGCATAGTTAGACAAGACTGATGGCAGGGGTGGTTTTGTCCCTATTAGAATTTTGTTAGAAAGATTAATCCCATTCCAGACAACTGATAGTATTTGAGACATTCTGTACAGACATTTCAATAACTATGTCAACAATTTCATCCTTGGCAACCTCAGGTCCCCTCACAGGAAAAGAAAGACATGGAGGGAAAGAAAAAAAAACACTCATTTTTAGAAGAGCATCAGAGCCAAATAGATTTCCCATCACAAAGAGAATTCATAAGGGTCACAGGGGCTTTTTATTGTTGTTGGGTTGATTTTGGGCATTGGTGGGTTTTTGGGGATTAGGTTTTTGGGTTGTTTTTTTGTTGTTTGGTTTGTTTTTTTGTTTTTTGTTTTTTGTTTTTTTTTTAAGAATAAGAACAAGAGAAAAGAGAAAAGTCAAATGAAATTTGTTCAATGAAATGCAATACACAGAACTTGGTAACAAAAATGCGTTATATCGCACCAATTTACACCATGGATTAATCCTGCCTGGTAGTGTCACATGCATAGTTAACCATGAACTTTATTAAGGATCAGTAATAATAATTTATCTGGTCAGGTAACTTGATCCAAGCTAATCTTTTCTGTTAAAATGGGAAGAAAAGGGATCTCTCTATGAAGTTGATAATACACTCGTGCAAAACCAGAAAATATTGGACAAGCATCTGTTGCAAATTTGTATGCTTATGGGCTGTATTATACCCCAGATCCACTATGTGTCAGGACATACTGGACTGCACACAAGGGGCCAATTAAGTCACAAAGATTCAACCACAGTAAGAAGGAAAGAAAGAAATCTCTTCAGTGTAATTCCCACAAGGTGCTTATATTCAGACCACTACAGTAGGAAAACCTTCTAATGGCCATAAATTTGCATCCGCATGCAAAAGCCCACAGAGACATTTGTCTGGGCAACCAGTAGGATTATCTCTGACAAATCTTCTTTCTCTTTTTATAGCCTGTGGGTTTAGATTTGTGGAAGGGGCTTTAGAAACCTTTTGCACAATACAGTGGTGATCAGCACCAGATGTGCAGAGAAATCAGCAAAAAGCAGTTATCTTAAAAGGCTTTCAATATTGTACCTTCCTTTGATGAAAAACAGCAAGCAAACAATAACGAAAATCTTTCTTTACATCCATTAAAAAGGGCAAATTCATCACAAGTAACAAAAAAGTTAAAGACAAAAAACTTGGCTTAACCTTTTTTCCTTGTTACAAAATACAAACTCTTTCAAATTAAACATTTTTTTAAAATGTTCTCTGTTGTTTTTTTTTTCTGAACTGACATGATCCTCTGAAGCAAAGTTATCTGCTTTCATGCCTTGGTGGGACCCAGGCCTTTTCAAGCAAATATTGCTTTATTTTATTTTAAGTTTCTAACAGAGCAAAAGCAGAATCACTGCAGAAAGAAGCAATGAAACAAAGGAGGACGACGTTGATGGACTTCCCAAGGTCGCTGCAGGTGCCAGACAATGGTTCCCAGGAGGGGAAAATATGGTTGTTTAAAAACAAATTTGGTGCATGTGGCAAGCGTGGATGTTTCCCAGTGAGATCCAAGGTGACATGTATGACGACAGACACAGGAAAGGAGTAAGGGGAAGAAGGGAGAGGGGAGGGAAGAAAGGACAAGGAAGAAAAAGAAAGAAAGAAAGAGAGAAAGAGAGAAAAATAGATAAAAAAAATTAGGTCATAAATATAGAAAACATAAGAATCAAAGGTTTATTTAATTTCATAAATTAAAATGGCTAAAGGTTAAAGAAGAGCATTAGCACATTCACACCAACAAAGGGGCCAGTTCAGAAGCTCAGCAATGCCCAAAGCCGCAGAGCTGGGTCCAAGTCAGGGTTTATGGGGTTTGCAAGCAAATGAGATTAAAAATGATGGAACAGAAGGCTCAGCGAGAAACACAAGAAAATGATTATCTGGTATGTGAAAGGACAACACTACCTTTTACATATCAAAAAAAAAAAAAAAAAGCAAAGCTTTTGTGTAGCAGACAATTCACCTGCCTGTCCAAGTTCTTCCCCCAAAGCCTACTGTACCAAGGACCTGGATAATAGGATCCAGGTGACTAAAACCCTGGTGAAGCAAGAAGGTCTCAAGAATACAAGACTGACTTTTCCAATTAGCCTTCCAGCTGCTTGTAAACTACTCTAATGCAGTTATTACTGAAAATAATACCCTTATCCTTCCAATCACTTTAAGGACACTGTACAGATGATGGTAACAAAGGACTCTACATAATAAATAACCATTTTGTCTGCAGGAAATTCCTAGCTATTACTGTCAGGCAGAACAACGCTATGTTGGAGGCACTGGCTCTGACTTCTCCTATGTAGCACATTTTGAAATCAAAATCTAAAAGCTAAACACCATGAAAATAACAAGAGATGCTAAAGGAAAGCAATACACAGAGCCTCTTTCCTACTGCAATTTGGCATACTTGCCTTCATTTCAATGGAGGCCCGTGGACTGCATGTCAGAAAAATCTAGCCTGCCCTCTGGAAATATCTTCCCCAACATTATTACTTTGGGGATCAGCTTAGGGAATCAAAGGGTCTGGAAACACCTTGGAAAACCTAACAGAAAACAGTCCTCTCTACATAAAATGAAGAGAAAAAAAAAAGAAAGGAAAGAGTCACAAATTCAGTATAGTCAGCAGTAATCATTTCACTGCACAGTGCTCTACTTGCCCCTGAACCAGAGCACATTCCTTCTGAGAACCAACTGCATCCATTTGTTGGGTCAATCCTGCAGCAAATTTGCACTCTGAAATGACTGCTTTTCAGAGTGCTTCCAATATTTCCAAGTGCAACATTTGACTGGCAGCCTCAAATCCTGATTCCTCCTAAGCAAGGAATAATTTTAGAGAGGCCAAGGAAGTCACACGTATGATAACAAACTGGGCTTCCCCCCACCCCATATTTTTAGACAGTCCCTGCCCATGTTACTGTTGGATTTAAAGGGCTCAGTGGCATCTGGGCTCATTCTCCTCCCATTGCCATGGACTACAGTATGAACGCTGTGTACTCCAAAGGCACTAGCATTCTCAAAATTTGCTAATACACCTGTGCAAGACATCCCAGCTGTCCCAGGTAGCTTTGCTGTCCTATTGGGCATGTAGAAAGGCTAAGAGACTATCAGAACAGGAAGGCAACAATGGTTGCACACAAAGGAGTGTGGAGGAACAAAAAGACTGATGAGTACTTATAACTTTCCCTGGGGAGATACATCACAGTGCAAAGGAACCACTTTCTGCTGTTTTCAGGCTACTGCATTTGACTGTTCAGCTCTGAACTGACCTTAAGGCACTCTTTGCCAAATTACCCTCACTTTGTCCTGCCACATCAGTCACGGTTGTCCTTCAAATATGTGAGGGTAGTAAGTATTAGAGCTGTTGAAAATGAGAATCAGAGAGTAAGTTGCTTAATGAGTTACTGAGGGTCCTTCCACCCAAAACTACAGTCTTGTTGAAACACACATCCCAATCTCTCTTTTGCCCCACTTCCCTCCTCCTCCCTATTCTCATCCTCCCTACCTTACACATTTTTCAAGCCCCAGCCAACTAGGTCATCCATTTGTATGCTTAATGACATTATCTAGCTTAATTAAGTGGAGTTTCAGCATGCAAACTACACAAGGTCTCAGCTGTTTCCTTCAGACAGGAAGGGAGTGGGCGCAGTGGGAGCAGACCAAAGGACTGAATTCTCAGTGCAAGGGAAGGACTGAAGAAGACTCTCTAGTTGTTCTGAAGAAAAACATGAGACTGAGTTAACCAGCTAGAAAGACAGAATGTAATCAAATCACTCCCTTCAATATGGACTGTCAGCAGTGATCTGTGGCTGTACAGTGAGCACTTAGATTGACTGACTCATAAGCTTTAAAGTTCATCCATCTGCCTTTAACCAATCAGAACTGCAGAACTTTAATTTACAGGTAGTCCAGCAATTTCATCCTTGAGGTGGTTTTTTTTTTTTTTTTTTTTAATGTGCACTACCACCACTTGTGTAGAAAAGCTTTCAACACCTTCCAGTGAACTCCTCATTCCTAGCATCTCAGCTAACAGGATCTGTTTGTTTTTCATAGTATTTGTGCTGCTTCTTTTTAAGCAGCTAATAAGTACTGTCTGTCTGAAACAGGAGTTTCCAGCAGCATGCTAATGCAATTTAGTTACTTTGCCCTAATGCCTTACCCAACATTAAAACAGTGGTGTTTTAAAATTAGTGTAATTTGATCTCCATTTCATTTAATAAAAAATCTTCAGAGAAAGATTTTAACTCCCTCCCTTTCTCCGCTAGCAAACTCCTTATGCCCTTATTTCTCCAAATGCTGAGCTGGATGGACAAACAAGCAGTAAGCAAGCCCAAAGCAGATTTGGAAAGGAAATCTGCATTGTGAAAAGCATTCGCCCCAGAGATCCAAATAGTCTCTTTTGCTTTAGTTTAAAATGAGAATCTTACTTTCTGGTTTCAGAAAGCATTTTCTATCCACTGCTTTTCTCATCTGGCAATCCTGTTACCCTGATACAAAAAGCCAACATTCCCTGTAAACAGTCAGGATTTGTCATGTAGCATTCCTAACAGTGTACTGCTAATGCTGTACATACTGTAACATGGACTACAGTACAGGTATGTACATGGCAAAACCTAAGCTTTGGATGGGTAACCAATTGTGATAATGGCTTTAAGCAAGCGAGTTGTCAGGGTTACTCAGGCACATTAAAGGATGCAGCACTGTTGCATTAATTGGAAGCAGAAAACAATGGTAAAGCTTATGACTGCTGTACCTGGGATGACAGTAGGCTGAGCAGAAGTTCGGAAAGCATAGTGAGCTGGTTTGGACTTCCCTTGCTGGTTTTCTGCTATCACATAAACCTCATACTCCGCATTCCAGTCCAGGGACTTGAGCATGACGTGGTCACTGCCAGACGGAAGTCTGATCTCTGGTTTCCATTCTGAGGAATGCTTCTGCAGAGCAGCAAGATGACAGGCAGGGATGCAAAACACACAGCACAACATTAGTAGCCAGCTTTGAGGACACTGTAATGATTAACTAACAAATAGAAAAGGAGGGAGGTTTCTACACAAGCATATGCTCCTTAGCTAATTCAGGGATGCAAAACATCCTGTGGTCTTGGCTTTAAGTGGAGAGGACAAGAGATACTAAAGCAGCCTCTGTCCTGCTCAGAATCCTGTTTTCTGCAGTGTTACCACACCTGAAGAAAATCCCTCAGTTCTTCCTCTAATCTTTGCCACATCACTAGACCACTTCCATTTCAGAGGGGAAAAGCTGTACCTTCTGTATGTCTCTGCCCTGCAAAGCACTCTAAGAGTCTTCTTTCAAGTCTTAATATGTCAAAGCTAAATTATCTGAGACACAGAGATTTACTTCTTAACGTAGATCTGGCTGAGCTTACCACTACCAACTACCATTCTATTCTGCACTGTTTAAGAGAGATTTTAAAAGGTGCATACAACCAGTAACTCTTATAATTCCTATGCCAGTTTCAAGGAATCCAGATGTACGTTTCACCTAGCTGAATTTGAAACACCCACTGCCAAGGTACCTTGAGACAGTCATAGGTAGTTTTCCGGGACTGCAGTGTGCTAACAGACTTTTCCATCTCTGCCAGAATATACGGTTCTGTGACACTAGATCGTACTTCTGACATGCCAAAGACTCTCCTTATTCTAAGAAGTGTTAAGTAACCTAAAATGCACAAAATAGTAAATACTCTTGGGATTTCTAGACTGCAGTGCAAAGTTTGGTCTGCGACTTTAAGGATTATTCATTTGTAGTATATAAAGAAAAATTACTAATAGCCAGTAGCTTCATATTCTCATTGATGCCCTCTCAAGGTCCTGTTCCTCAAGGATGTGCTAAGCAATCTCTCCAAGTGGGTGGGGGTTTTTTTGTTTGTTTTGTTTTTCGCCATTGTAAGAAAAACCATCTAATACCACCTAACACAAAACAAGGGCCATGTTCAGCTTACAACAATGCTAGCTGCTCATCACACGGATGTTCTTTCCCAAGACTAGAGCTAGATGTTTTGCTCAGAGAATCATGTATTTTGCAATCCTGAGTAATTTACAATGAGAGCTGATGAAGTTAGGCCTAAAGGGGAACTGCTTCCAATAGCATCTCTCACTTTATCTGTGCCTATACTGGCTACATTGAGTCTTATTCAACAATCTGTAGAATTATTTGGTACTGAAGCGCCCATTACTCAATCAACTACGGCAGTTTCAATGACCAACGGAAAGTTATGATTAGATACATGTCTGAAGGGGGGCAATGCTCTACACTATGAACCTCTGGTCCCTGGCTATTTAAGTAGTTGCTGGCAATCCCATCTTGGACGTATATGAAATGAAATAACACTAAATGCATGTAATTATCATATGCTCACAGAAGACAGCATGGAGAAATAATCTTTCATAGTCAAAGCGAAAGGAAAGAAAATGAGACAAAGATTTTGTATGTTGCTTGTGTGCATGTCATGTCTCATACCATATACATTTCCACCACATCTGCTTAGCATGTATTCCCATACTGGGCTACCTCCAAGATCTTCACTTCAGGGCTGTCAGCCTACATAGTGAAGCCCAAGTACTGAACAGGCTAAAACCAAATCAGGTTTGAGTGTCAGTCATACTTACGGCTTTGTATTTGATCAGATAATGTCTAATTGGGGAGCCACCATCATCCTGCTTGATAACATTCACTTTAATGGAGTTTCCATCTTCTCCCATCTGGCCTTCCAGTTTGGGTGCGCTGGGTTCCCCTGAAACAATGGTGGGTTTATGTTTAATTGTAAAAAAAAATCATTAGGGAAAAAGTACTTATCAAACTCAGAAAAACACTTCACCATACTCAGCTACCAGGGTAGCAGCTTCACTCTGACCCAGACAGAAAGAGGACACTGTGTGTGTAGAGTACAAATATTTGCAAGACCCGAGTATTTCTTGCATTTGGTAGGGTTTTTTCACCAATACAAGTTACCATTTCTGTGTGTGCTGGAATGGAGTCAGAGGCTAAATGAAAAAGACCCAACCCTTCCCCAAAAATATCCTAGAGCAATGACCAGTTCCTGGCAGTTTTTGTTGTAAAACACTGATGTGAAACACCTGGAAAACATCAAGATAGGGTACACGGCAAACAGGCAGGCTGCTCCTGTGAAACAGATGTAAAGAGCATCATTGAAAAGGGACATTATGCATGTCATACAGACCTGTGTTTGCACTTCGAATGTTGTTTAGGTTTTATAGTTGCTGGACCAGAGACTCGCTGGTGTGCTCATTTAAATGAGCGTGGAAAAAATGGTACTGAATCACAACAAAACATCTTTTCACTCAGCTTGCACTGATGTAAGTAATTGCAATGAATACAGGGTGGAGAGAACTAGACCCCTTCATTCTTCTGCAATAATCATTCAAAAAAAAGCTACCACTTCCCAATTTGCAGCCCTGACATCAGCAGAAAACTGAAGTGTCATTTGCAGGGCACACTGATTTACCACCACATCCTTTCACACCCATGTCTACAACTGCTTTTTCTAGCCAATTCCTCCATACCTGCACAGACAATCCGCAGAGGATGGTTCCCCAATCCCAGCTGAAGTACTTCCTCTTGCACCTTTACTATGACACCTCTCCTAACAAAAGGCATATCCACAGATTGTCATCCGATTACATATTTACAACCCCTCCTCCCTGCCTTCAAAAATACTGCAGCAAATTGCTCAAGAGACATGCTTTCTCCTTCTGCTTTCCTATTACCCAGGGATCAATTGTTTCCAAAGAGCTCTGACAGTCTATGAGTTTACTATGCAAGAGGCATTATTACCTATTTATTTGTTTTCATGGATTAAGAAACCCATCAACCGAACAACCCCCTGTCCCCAACATAAGCATCAAATTGGCAAAAGAACTTAAATGAGAAAAGAGCACTAGTCTCTCTTTTCAAAAGTGAAGTAGACCACAAGAGAGCTCATATTCTGCTTTCTGTCAGTGTCTGGATGCTTGCTTTGCTCCATTTTATATATAACGGCATGAAAGGCTTAGGTTCCTCTATGCCAATGCTCATCTGAGGTTGGAGCTGGAGCTATTATTTCCACAGCCCTGAAATGTCCCAAAAAGCTTAAATACTAGTCAAAGTCAGTAAGACTTGACAAAATTTACCATAAATCTTGCATGTCATTTTACAGTACTTACTAACTTCTTCAGTACCAGCTCTGTGATGTAGTTTAAGTGCTTAAGCCATGAATTCTGGGCTTAAAAGCTTCTTAAGAACTTTTGACCATTTTACCTTCTATTCTTTAGAAGCTGTTCTGCCCAATTTCTTTATGGGTAATTTGAGCAAAACTAACACTGCAATTATTTGTAAGCTAAAACTTACAAATCAGCTGCAGTGGGCAACTCCAACAAACTCCTGAGATTAATTACACACTGCTGGCTGGTTTCATTGCAGGGTCCTAATTCTTACAGGTATTTTATATAACAATTTAAGTGGCTAACTGTTAAAAAGCAAAACATTCCTACACTTCTGTTTAACCACAGTTATGCATATTGTATGCATTTTGGAAGTATTTCTGTTTATTCATCTGAGTGGTGAATAGCTCATTTAGAGCCGACTACAGGAAATTTATATACAGAGAATACAAGAGACAATGCAAATCCTGTGTTTTACTGCACGCCCTGAATCTAAATACACTTCCCAAATGTTCGCAGCCCCAAAGGTTTGCACAGGTTTGCTAATGCTGAGCACACGCTTTACTGTTCTAGCTCAAAGCAACCTACAGTTCTGCTAAAGCACCGTTGTCTTTACTTGCAGTGCCACTTGCGGTTTGGACAATGGGCTTTCTTGAACGCATGCTCACAGATGCACCGAAGTGTGGTGAAATACAATTAAAAGGTGATCCAATTCTGAATGTACCCCAAAGAGAACACCACCAAAACTCTGAAACGATGACATTTGTGACTTAAAAGCCTGAATGTAACCAAATGAGAACAAAAGCAGGACACTGAAGTAACATTTGTGACTTTTTAAAAAGCTCAGCCTTTTACCTAGAATAAAACTTTTTAAAAGACTTAGTTCTGTTGCATTATACTAAAAATGAAAGGAAATAATAAGCCAGTAGTTGTATTAAGATCAACTTTGAAAGATAACACCAGTCATGAGAATTTACAGGAGCTTTTTTCAACCCAAAACCCATTCTCATTTCTAAATTTATTCCATCTGCATTTGTATTCAGCTACTAATGGAGAGCACATGTGTTTCTGACTGGCAGACAAAGGTTAGTCTTCCAATATCTTTCAAAGTTGATCTTCAGAAGTAACTACAGTCCTCCCCCCTCCCCCTTCCATTCCAAAGAAAGAATTCAAGCACATTTGGGGGTGGGGGATGTGTGAAACATCAATGAGAAAACTACAAGACATAGACTGAAACTACTGAATTTAAGATTAATTAGATTTTCTTGCAGGCTGACACATGCTCTAACATACCAACTGTTCCAAGAAGGTAATCACGATCCACAGATACACAGGGCTCTTTGTTGTGAGATACATAGATTTGTGTTTCACAACATAGTAACTTCTCTAAGAAGATGTAAAGAAGGAATGCTCCTTTTTTCTATGTTAGATTTTTCTTTTCCAAATCCTTGCCTCTGCCTATATCGCCATTACAAGACTCCCATGATACAAGCTGGACGCTGAAGAGCTGTGTTCCACCCTGTGACAGGTTTCCCAGTGACTGTACGTTGAAAACACAAAGGTAATAGTCTTAAGGTGACCAGGGAAGCTGCCCCTGCATGCACCTCTAGTGCTGTTTGAAGCTGATGGCACACAGGAATAGGTTTTCCTGTTTACATTACCAGAGGTGATACGCACTCCTCTGGAGTTCTCCAGATTCAGATAGTGCAGGGCCATTCATGTCTCAAGAAAGGACAAGAGAATTTTGTGTTTAACTGATGACCACATTTGCCATTTATTGTATAGACAAAAGGGCGGGTTTTTATTTTTACTGCCAACTAACTGAGGCTGCATGTTTGAAAAGCCCTTCCCAGCCCATGTTTCTCCTGGAATTATGAATGCTGAAAGCATAATGCATACAATGAACTGCAGATTGAAAATTAAATGGGAACAAGCGAGTTCTAGATAAGCATAAGTACCTCACCTAGGCATACTGAAAATATCAGATTAACCAAGCAATTATATTTTTTTTCTTTCCTCAATCCTAAAAGAAAATTATCACTGCAAAGGTTACTGGTTTTGACTATTGAGTTGATTTGAGTTGAAGCAGCTATTACTGCAATAATTGTTACATGACTATTAACCAATAATTAAACAAAACCAGAAGCAAATGTCTTGTTCTATCATTTTTTTCACACAAGAAAGTAGCTCCCAGTAACAACTGGGGTGGAGCATTCACAGCTACTTCTTTTGCTGGACACCGAGTCACTTGACACTGCTGAAACACTTATGAGCAGCAATGTTTAACTGTTGCCATTTTTCTGGTAGACTTGATGAATGGCTTCACTGATAACTAGACAGTGTATCAACATCTCTCCTTGGTACTCTTTCCTGTCCTTACCTCAGAGAGATAATTACTAATAAGTAAAGAGATCTTGAAGTGATAAAGGAACACTGTACTCACAGAATCTGACCTCTTATCTAACACAGACTAGAATTTTTTTTCCAGTGATTGAGCACCAAGACTAAAATGTGAAGGAACATCCTTTGGAAAGATGCTCATTCTTGATAGATTTTAAGTGTCAGAGATGCTGCTGTACCTGACACACAGCCATTCCAATGATTAATTACTCTCTCTGCTGAAACTTTTCTTCACTTCGAATTGTCCAATTTCTAGCTCCAAATTCCTTGATTCCCCGATAGTTTAAATGCACTTCTGCTCTGAGAAACATTCTCTTCAAATAGGAGAATACGGACCACTCCTAATGGTTGAAACCTAAGAAGTATAGCAGTGCAAGCCCTGTTGAAGAATATTTTAGTTTTCTCTCCATAAATACATGGCATTTAATTTGTCTTAAGCAGGCAGAGGTAATCCAGATACAGGGCTGTAAAATTAAAAATGGGTTAGTGTGTAGTTTCAAACAAAGGAGGAAGAAGTTTAGTGGGAAAAGTTTAGTCCAGCAGAATCAGCATCCCTATAAGTCAAAGTGTCAGTAGCTGAAGAGAAAAGAAAAAAGTTGTCATTAGAAGGCTAAAGAACTCATGCTCACAGAACATGCATCCTCCCTACAGGATGGGGGCTGAAAAGCAAAAGTGCATTACAAAGGTGTGCTACGTGCCTGGGGATCTCCCATTTACACTAAGCTGACTGGTCATATTGCAGAAATCTATCTATTGCACCCATAAAATATGGAAACTTTAAAGAATCCCCCTTGTGATACTGCTACTTAGCTCATTGAGAGCAGACAGCTCCAAGCATGCCAGACTTCCTCTGGATTTTACAAACACCTATCTGCTTAGAATTCACTCTGCTGCAGAAGGAGGGATGCCGGATCTTATGCTTTCACTCTATAGTGAGACAATGCTGAGTGACCATGTCTGAGCCAAATGGCACCTTATTCAGCCCAGCAGGGAGTATCGAATAATGCAAGTGGAGCCCCCTGGAGGGCAGAAGACAAGTAACTTCAATTTTCAGCCCTATACTTAAAATTTTCTCCTTGAGAAATGGGATGGATTTTGCCCAAAGATGTAAAGTTTACATGTTTCACCCACCCTACATACTTTTTTCGAACTTGACCACTTCCACTGATTTAAACTTCACCAACAGGACACTCTTCAGAAAACGAGAAAAGTAATCCCAAGAGGTGCTTTACCTATGAGAAAAGCTAATAGACATGCATGGCACACTGCCTGCTTCTTGCAATTTAAACTATTTTTGAGCAAACCTTCTCTGGAGCTGAATTCCAGAGAGCTCATGAAGTCCTATACTTTGAAAGGCTACTCATCCACTCTATGAAGGCTCCTCCAAAGGCACCATTGCCCAGAAGCAACGAGCTGTGAATTAGAGAGTCTTCAATCTCTTTAGTGCCTTTTAGGAAACTAGGTCTGTTTCTCCTCTCACATCTTCTGTGGCTTTGGAGACTTAATTTTTCTTTCCAGTAACTCTTCTTTCTTTATCTTTAGAACCACAAAGAGCTGCATGAATAACACCAGACTCAAGCTCTTCGTCACTCATCTGTCCAGATCCCTCCCCATATTCCTTATGGCTGGCTTCTCAAGAAACAATCATGACTTCAGGAAAGACTCCTGCTGCATTGATTTGCCTAATATCAAATTTCAGGCCAGAAACATCTTGCTGGCCAGTATGAGACACAAGACACTGGGACTAGATGGCTCCAAGACTTGCAGCTCCTATCTTTCTAGCAAGCAGCACAATCATTTTGCTGCTTTCCATGAGGGCTACCCAATTGCTGCACTGTACTGGATTACAGTGCAAGTCCCAGGAGTCATCTGAGTGTTACTGCATGGTGTTTCTTCTCCAGCGACCAAGTTTGTAACTTTCAGAAAGGAAGAAGCCAATGCTTTGCTCTGATAAGAATACAGGATGGTACGTGCATGAAGTGAAGTGTTATTTATGATGGCACTGCCTTCTCAGGGCATCACTGTTAATCCAGTGTTAAGCTCAGAGATCCGTTCTTTGGGCTTCAGATGTAACTCATAATGAATTCGACCAACTGTACTTGAAATAAGGAACTGTTCCACAGGCTCCTGAAGCCTGAATCACTACCTGTTAGCTCCTACACATGATGTGAGTGTAGCTGAGGACAGTGTTCTGAGCCATTACATTTTCAAATTATTTTTTATCCACTTCTGCTAGGCCATGAGCACCAATAATCTCCTGCTGCAGGGAAGCAGTATGTTTCCTGGTATCCTTTCACTGTTGTTTAATTTATGTTTAAAGTGCTTCCTTGATCTAATACTAGTCTGATATAGTTGGATTTCAGCAGCAGCTAACTGTTTTTAATTATCTGGTTTTCAGAGAGCACCACAAGCACCAGGACTGGATGCAGCTGTACTGAAAACTTGAGGTGAGAAGAGAAGAGAATATGAAAAACTAGCACGAACTTTTCCCTAGTCACAGGGCACTCAGTGTGTGCTGGACCCCAAAAGTGACAGCAGTGCAGATGACAGAGATGTTTTATCACATCTGTTCTCTGCCCCCATCAAATGTGTTCCTTCTCCCCACCTTTGAAAAGCAGCTCAAATTGGTTACTAGACAACTGAAGCACTTTACACTATGAGCTTAAATCCTTGCCTAGCTGGAACCAAAGAAAGATCCTGCATCCTTGCTGTACTTAAGAGAATACAAGTGCAATCTATGGTAATTTCTGCAGCACATGAACAAGGAAGCAGCTGATTTCTGCAATCTTTGACCGTCATGTAAATAGGACTAGATTGTGACCTATACTGTCAGCAATTGAAACAAACATCAGCCCTATTGATGGCAAGTCTCCTAGAGTGGGAAACACACAGGGGTGAGAAAGAATAGGTAGGGAGTCTTCAGAAAGCACACAAGAGAAGCAAACATCAACAATCAAAAATAAGGAACAAAACAGAAGAACATGCAAAAACGAGACAACCAAGTCTTCAGTCCTCCTGGATTTTGACCAGAGAGGGAAGAGACTAGGGGAAGAGGGGCTGCTTTCATGCATGCAGTCATGTGGGAAGGTTACTGGTGTTAGTTCTGTTTTCCTGGCAAACCCCAGCCTAAATCCTTTCTTGGTGGTGCTCCAAGACAATAAGGTGATTTTGGAATTCATAGGTTGAAAAAAAGCCAATTGCTTCCTGGTTTTCAAAATTATTTGTTTAGCTGGGGAAGTAGAAAAGCAGGATTTTCCCTCCCTCCTCCCTTTTAGCTTATGGACAGAGTATTAAGTGAAGTTGTAAAAACAACAATGTTGCAGAAATTGTTTTCACTACCACACACTTTACTTGGAGACTGATTTCATCTCCATAAGCTGCAAGGGTCAATCATTTGCTTCTTGATTTCATGGAGATCACCAGCTACTGTAACTGTTGCTGGTAAACAGGTTCAGAGCCAGGCTCTGAGATACTGTGTGGGAGAAACAAGGTGCTCTGTCAAGAAAGGTGAAATAGTACTTCTGATGTAAATTGTGCGAAGTCTAGCTCCCATCACGTACTCTGTGTATGCCTATATATAGTCCTTTATAAAAACATAATTCACACTCTAGCTAAGTTTAAGTGTTACTCATGATATACAAATTTCTTTCTTAAATCATAATGTGACACACTTACCAGTAACTAAATTTCAGACAGAGGGAATTTTGGATCCTTTTGATAGGCTACTAAGTATGTACAGTGTGAATGTGTGTGTGTATATCTCTCTATATAAACATATACTGCATAGGGTCAAAATGTTCCTAAAGCAACAGGAGATAACAGTGTTCACATTATCTGAGCATCTTACCCACAATCTGCCATCAACTAGGTGGCTGTAGTTGGTGCACTGGTACCCTGAAAGGCAAAAGGATTTTTGCCATTGGTGTTAATGCCAGAGAGAGTTTTAGAACCGTACTAGCATGCTGACTGTTGGATTCCAATAGGGAAAGAAGCAAATGACTGAGCCACATTATTTTTGTAGTCTTTTTTTTTTTTCTCCCCTCCCTCCAAGTTTTTTTAAGCTCAGTGTGGAAGACTGAAGTTGACTTCTTCACGTGCAGACAGTGGTGGGCAACTTCTCCAAAAGGCCTGTAGACGGATTTTGGAGTGATGGAATTTGGAAATCCCTGGTCACTGACCAGAGGGGAATCCTCACCCCAAATCTAGGCAACCAATCAGAACAAAGTATTTTACCTTCTGTTCACCAGCGTGGACGACATCGTCAGCACCATGCAAGCCACATGACAAAGTCACATGATACGCACGCACATGATTGGTTGAAAGGAAAGTGGAGGAGGTCACATGGAAAATACAAAAAAATTAAAAAACTGATGTAAACAATGGGCAAGGGAAAAATCAACAACAGAATTACAGACTAAATAAAACAGAAACAAAATTAAATTAGCCAGTATATATCAGAAACACTGGGGAGACAGTAAAATTGCCTGGAATTATAAGAACAGTAAACCATAGAAAGCACTGAGTTATGACCTTGTGAGCATTAAGCATGGCCGCATCAGTGCTTATTAATACCAAGTCAAAGAAGAAACAAAAATTGTAGAGTGTGCACCAGAACTTGGACAGCTGAAGGAATCCACCAGACTGTTGGATACAAGACTGTTGGAAAGAAAAAGGGCATACATTGTTATTCAGAAACAGTCCAGGCAGCTGAGGTGAAATGGTCAAAATCATAGCCCACGCAGTTCAGTGAAGACAAACCTTGGCATTTCGTATTGCTGTATTCTCCCCGCTGCAGAAACAAATGTCTTCCTAAATATCAATAACTGAAAGAGAGAAAAACCTACTATGTGTCTACATTTCTAAGGACAGAACTTTTGATCAAAGAGCTGCAGCTAGAATTTGGTCAGACTGACAGTCATTACACAGAGTGCACAAGCTCTGTCCAACATACAGCCTGAAGATTCAAGGAATGGCATGAGTCACATACAATTAATTACACAGATGATTTCACACGTGCAAGGTTTTTTTCTGGTAACAAGGAGAAGAATGAAGTGCTCTGCACTGGAAATTAATTATGAAGATGGCATAAGGAAGACCGCTACTGCTGAAAGGGATGAAAAAGTAAGCAAGACTGTATGACGGGGGC